TGTTTGTTAATGCACTTGATTGAGGATTATCTATGTAGATTATTTTATGAACATTTAATTACATCTTTGACAAGAGGAAAATATTGGGGAGTATAAGGGATTCTGAAAAGAGCTGAGCCATGATTCTTTCAGATTCTAACTGGACTTTGGATTTATGTAATTTAATTATATTTCTTATTATGAAATGGGATTACTATTTAACAAGGAGTGATTAATGCATTTTTTTAACATCTGCTCTCCCAACATCCTTTACATGGGTTCTTAAGTCCATTGTAACCCCATCCTCCAGGTGTCTGGTTAGAATTTTAGGGGTTCTGTGAAGTTGGATGGGGAAAATAAAAGTCTTTATTTTTACTAATCTCTAACTGAAATTGAACCTTTCCTTCTATTATGAATGTAGGCAAGAAACCACACTAGTAGTGTTAGCAACAACTGTAACTGGACATAAATATTCCAAATATTGTCCTCATCACTAGACTCATTACTAGATCCTGTTATTTAATGCATTATCTATTACTGTGTAAAACTTTGTTTAAAGATATTTCAGTAATTATATTTCAATATAATTGCTTTACTTTGAAGTCTCTTCATAGTTCATTTTGTGTATTTAAGAACGTTATTCTGAGAGGGGTACCTGGCTGGCCCAGTCAGTAGAGCATGTGACTCTTGATCTTGGGATTGTGAGTTCAAGTTCCACATTGGATGTAGAGCCTACTTAAAAAAAAAAAAAAGAACATTATTCTGAGAAAGAGCCCATAGGCTTCAGTAGACTATTGGAAAGTTCTGGGGCACCAAAAAGGGTTAGGAAACCCTTGGAGAGCTATGGTTTTCACCTGAGGCTACACATTAGCACCATCTGGGGAGTTTAAAAAAATAAAAGTGGTGATGGTTCAGGCTTGTTCTCAGAGATTCTGATTTAATCTATACAGTGGGGCTTGAGCATCTATTTTTTTAATTTTATTTTTTTTAAATTTTATTTATTTATTTATTTTTAAAGATTTTATTTATTTGACAGAGAGAGACACAGTGAGAGAGGGAACACAGCAGGGGGAGTGGGAGAGGGAGAAGCAGGCTTCCTGCCAAGCAGGGAGCCCGATGCGGGGCTCGATCCCAGGACCTTGGGATCATGACCTGAGATGAAGGCAGGTGCTTAACGACTGAGCCACTCAGGTGCCCCTTGAGCATCTTTTTTTTTTTTTTTTTTTTTTAAGATTTTTATTTATTTATTTATTTGAGACAGAGAGAATGAGAGACAGAGAGCATGAGAGGGAGAAGCAGACTCCCTGCCGAGCAGGGAGCCCGATGCGGGACTCGATCCCGGGATTCCAGGATCATGACCTGAGCCGAAGGCAGTCGCTTAACCAACTGAGCCACCCAGGCGCCCTTGAGCATCTTTTTTAAAATCCCTTTTCCCCCAGGTGATTCTAATGTGCTGCCAGGGTTGAGAATCACTAAAGGGAATGGCTTATTTAGCAAGGAGACATTTATACTTTTTGCTGTGATTTTTGCTGGTTGAATATTAGACACTATCTTTTGAGTTTTCTCTGTTCTTTTACAGATTATGGTATACGTTATCTAATTTGGTAGGTTAATTTTCAGCAGGTGGATCTTGAGTGAATAGACCTCCCATTAGACTGCTTTGAAACACTAGTTGTTAGCATTGATTAACTAAAGCAATTCAAGTATAGCTTAGCTGTTTTTTTAGTTCCTGATTTAAATTTCCTGTATCACACTTCTTATTTTCTCAGTAACGTTTCATAGTTGGTATCTTATAAACTAAGTTCCTAGTTTTATTTTAAAATATTTTCTTAAGTTTGTTTTTTCAAGAAGTAAGTAAACTCTGAATGGAGAAGTCTTTATTATGTTGTATCCCGAAGTGTCCCTTCAACAATGTGTGGCACATACTAAGCACTGAGCAAATATTTCTCAGGTGAATAGTGAAAATTCAAACAGTAGAAGAGTATATACATTATAAAGTGAGTGTTTCTGCGAGTCTGTCTCTGTCTCTCCCCAGCTCACCTCCCAATTTTTTTTACACCCAGTATTATGGAGATAGTTCCATCTTGCTGTCTATAGATCTGCACTGCTCTGTTCTTTTTAGTGACTACAAATTCCTTCATTAATTTAGTTAGTTCTTTTATATGTGATTATTTTAATTATTTTTAGTTTTATGCAACAGCAAACAGCCAAGTAGTTGACTGTTCTTCAGTATACATCTTTGTGCATGTGTACGATAGGAGAAGTTGCCAGAAGTGGAATTCAGGGTCAGACATTCATGTTCAATTTTGATCACATTACTACTTGCCCCCTGCCAACAATGTGAGAATGTCTGTTTTTACATACCCTTGCCAGTGCAATGCTAATTATAAAACACTTTGGATCTCTGTCTTATGGTTTACATTTGTATTTCTTTTTCTATGAACTGTTGAAATGCATTGCCCATTTTCTTTGTGAGTTGCTGGTCTTTTATTGACTGTACATGAATAAATTTAGATATTTTTAGGTTTGTCTTTTGACTTTGATTATACTACTTGTTCATGCACAATTTAAATGGAATTAAGTGTGCTCTTTTCAAAGCCTTCTGAAAAGCCTTTTCTATGCAAAGGTCCATTTCAGTATGTTTTCCTCTAGTTCTTTTTTGTTGGTGTTTAAATCTTTGATCTATCTGAAATTTACTTTGGTAGAAAGGGTTAAATAGGAATTCAGCTTTATTTTGATAAAGTTGACTGCCATTATTCTAATAGATGATTATACAGTTATTCTAACATCATACATTGAATAAGCCACTATTCTGATTTGAAATAACACCTTTATTTGTTCATTTTCCATATATCATTCTCTTTCTCAACTATCATGGACCAGTGATGCATGAACCATTACCAAACCATTTTGCTGTGTTTTAATTTGTGTTTTAATATGTGGTTGGGCCAGTAGTCCTCCTTTATTAAACTTGTCCAGTTTTAGTTTCTTGAGCTAGCTTATAGAGCTCTTACATATTAGTAAAATATGTTTCATACAAAATTACATAGGTCTTTTAAAACATGTTTTTCTTTCTAAATAAACGTACACTTATCAGTGGTAGACAATAATTTATTCCAAAGAAGAGTGTATTTCTTCCAGGTATATTTTTTTCTCTAAACCCATGACTGAAATTTTTTTCCCAGCTGGAGTTTTGACATTATTTTTCTATGAGATGTGAATTGCCACTGAAAAAAAGAAAGCTGTTAGGGGCAGTGCTTCCCTCTCTATTGCCTGTTGAGTATTGCCATATTATAGATTTCAAGAAGTCCTGGAAAAAAGACAAAACAGAACTTCTATAAATTAACATTTATCTGACTTACTTGAGTATCACTTTTTGTGGCACATAGTGGAATTCTGAACAATTTGAGACGTAATACTTGTATTTTTGCTTCAGGTGCTGGCTATTTTAGGCATTACCTTTTTTAAGATTATATTTTAATAATAAAAATAAAACTACCGCCGGGGCACCTGGGTGGCCTTCAGCTCAGGTTATGATCCCAGGGTTCTGGGATTGAGCCCCGCATCGGGCTCCCTGCTCGGCGGGAGGCCTGCTTCTCCCTCTCCCACTCCCCCTGCTTGTGTTGCTGCTCTCCCTATCTCTCTCTGTCAAGTAAATAAATAAAATCTTTAAAAAAAAATAAAATAAAACTACCACCCATTACCCACAGTGACCACTAAACATTTTAGTACAATCTTATAAATCTCTTAATGCAAATTTCTTTTTAATAGTTTTAGTGATGCTGTATATACAATTTGTGAATCATTTTTAAAAGCTTTACATCAGAATACAATTTCCATGTCATTTCATGCTTTCTCTTTTGTGGCTCAGGATGAATGCTCTATAGCAGTGTTTCTCAGAATTGTTCCAGGGACCCTGGAGGTTCCTAAGACAGGATCTGTGAGTTCATAGTTTCAAAATTTAAGACACTTTTTTTTGCCCTTTCACTTTTTTTTTTAAGATTTTATTTATTCATTTGAGACAGAGATACAGAGAGAGACAGCGTGAGTAGGGGAAGAGGCAGAGGGAGAGGGAGAAGCAGGCTCTCCCCTGCTGAGCAGGGAGCCCGATGCGGGGCTCGATCCCAGGACCCTGGGATCATGACCTGAGCCGAAGGCAGATGCTTAACCATCTGAGCCACCCAGGCGCCCCTGCCCTTTCACTCTTAATCTCTCATGAGAGTACAGTGGAATTTTTAAATGATGTGTTATCACAGCAGATTGAATGCAGAAGCAGATAGGAAAATCCAGCTACATTTTTTAAAATATCAGACCCATGGGGCACCTGGGTGGCTCAGTCGTTAAGCGTCTGCCTTCGGCTCAGGTCATGATCCCAGGGTCCTGGGATCGAGCCCCGCATTGGGCTCCCTGCTCCGCCGGAAGCCTGCTTCTCCCTCTCCCACTCCCGCTGCTTGTGTTCCCTCTCTCGCTGTGTCTTTCCCTGTCAAATAAATAAATAAAATCTTAAAAAAAAAAAAAAAACAGACCCTAAACCGATTTGCAAATATATAAAATAAGGATATTCTCACTGAATTTTTAAATTTATTTTGCATAAAAGTATTATGTTAACATAATTTTTTATTGTACGTGGGTAAATATTTAACATTTTTGTCAGTTTTAATTTCTAATGTAAATATTGAAGTAATCACATAGACAAAAGTTCTTTGGCATACTCAATAATTTTTAAGAATATAAAAGGGGTCCTGAGACCACAGAGTTTGAGAATGGCTGCTTTATATTTAATGTAAAAGATGGGTTTGTTTAAATTTAATAATGACTTTTAAAAGTATGTGATCACTAAATTTTGTTTTTATGCAGGTGACTTATGATAGCATAGTATATATAGATTGTAGAAAATGCAGTCCTCTTTTGTAAGAGGACATTTTTATGCTTTGTATTGGGGACAATAACTGTGCTTGGATTAAATTAGGTATGAAACTTTTAAAACAATAACATCAGTTCCTTATTTTTCTTTCCCCCAGGCAGCTGAGTATGTCCCAGAGAAGGTGAAGAAAGCCGAAAAGAAATTAGAAGAGAATCCATATGACCTTGACGCTTGGAGCATTCTCATTCGAGAGGCACAGGTTTAGTGATATAGGATTACATTTCCTTCTCTATGGGTCCAATCACACTACTTGGTTCTGCAGTAAATAATATTTTCATAATCCTAACATTGTAAATGCTGTTTATTGGTTTTCAATTTTAGAATCAACCTATAGACAAAGCACGGAAGACTTATGAACGCCTTGTTGCCCAGTTCCCCAGTTCTGGCAGATTCTGGAAACTATACATTGAAGCAGAGGTTAATATTTTATTTTATTTTTTCTTATATAGCATCTGATGGGAATTGCAGCATACACTAGAGTGATAGAAAACAAGTTAGGAACATAGATAGCACAACTAGGACAAGGAGGATTTAAATGTCTCTTGCCTTTATTTTGTAAAATAGGTTTGAAGGAGTAATTAAAATGAATTTTTGAAATTTGGGTCTTTACAAGCTGATGATTGTTGCATTTTGGAGTTGCAACAACATTAAAACAGTTTCAATGGTATTGGAGTGCTTTAGCCTTTTATTTACTTGTCATGTGTCAATTTATTGCCTCCTGTGTCATTTATTTAGAACTCATTTTCTGTTTATTCCTACTTACAAACTAATATGAATGGTATTATAAGAAAATACAGAAATGTTAACTTAGTTTCATAGGGTATATTGAGTGGTGAAATGAAACATGTTAGGTGAAAAATTATTTCAGGTTTTAATTTTGTGAAAATGCATGGTTTGTCAATAAATGTAAGCATTTTGATAATTTAAAGATAAGGTTTTTAATAGGATAAAGTTTACATTATTCAGGAATAAGCTAATGTGATTCAAATTTGTGTAATCCTAATTTACCCAATGGTACTTTTTTCTTTTTCTTGCTTTCTAACTATCTTGAAATTTTAAGTCAGGCATGTTTATTTTAAAGAGTAAGGGCCTCATTCTTGATTATGATTAGAAGGTAAATGTTCATTTTTGACAACTGGAATTAGCTGTCAAGATGATAATAAAGCGTTAATGTATTGATACCAGTGGCACCAAGTAATCATCTTTCAGGTTATAATTTAATGGGATGGAAGGGGTGAGATGGGAATAAGTGTGCACATTACAGTGAAAATTCTATCCATTTCTTTTTATAACTTATACTATGAGGTATTCTTATTTTGAATGTTAATTTTGTAATATCCATTCTCAACATAATCAAATACACTGCAGCCTCATTATAACATTTTCCATAATGACTAAAATTTGATAATATATGGGTCTGTTTTGGACCTATTCCGAGGGCTTTAGTCATCAGTAGTACTAAACAGACTTCACAACACAGTGCCACCTGTGATGTGTTTCTCATAACGGATGCAACCAACAGCCAGTTTAAATTGAGGCTACAGTGTACTTAGTGTATTTGTGCTATAGTTTATAGTATATTACTTTGGGAGTGGGAGGGAATTACTGGACAATAACAGGAACATTGTGCGTGCGTGTGTTAAATTTTTTGTGTGTGGTTGTGTATGTGGTATGTGTGTTTGTATGTGTGAGAGATTGTACCTTACATGGAGTTTGGTTGTGGTTTTGGCCCAAGATCATATCCTTAAGGTTTCATCACTTATCCTTTGGGACCATTTCTTTCCTTAATATATTTAATCATCAGAGTAGACTGGCGTGGAATTCACCAGGTGAGTGAGTAGGCCTGTCTGAAGTATGCTGAACCCAGTGCTGCTTTGTAATACTCATTAAAGCGAGGAACCTGGATCACCTGTACTTGGTCTGCATTCCAGTTTGATTTCACAAACACATTAGCTTATATGCAAACTCATCAGAAATGAACATAATTGATACATAATAGTTTTGTGTAATGAAGTAGTACCTTCTTTAGTTTTAGAAATTTCTCAAATATTCAGGTATTTATTCATGCATTTTATTATAGCGTAAGTTGAACTGAAATTGGCAGTTAGATAGTCCATTCTGTGAATATGAACACAGTGAGTCTGTTTCTCCCATTTCCTAGCTATAAATTCCAACTGCATTCTAAAAAAGAATCCTAAGACCAGATGTTATTTCAAGGGGCTGAAAATTGTCTAAATAACAAGCTCATTTCATTTAATATTTCAGAGCTGCTAGCAGTTGCCCAATTTATTTAATTGGTAATATTTGCAGTTATTTCACACACATACAGACACAAATATGAATGTATGTATAAAACATCTTTTGAGAAAAAATGGTGAAGATTATATGTGTATTTTGTAAAATTGACATTTTTGGTTTAGGAATTAAAATGTTAAATTGCTGATTCAGAAATGCATATCCTGACCTGTGTTTTTCTCTTTCCTGATTTGCTCTTTATTTTTTTATTTTCACATTTTGTACTTTGTTTAGCCTGTAAGAGGCTAAAGTTTTCTTTGGTCATATCACCCAGTGTGGCCTTTAATGTTTCTGGAGGAGACACATGACCTATTTATAATACATTAAAAAAATGTCTTCACATTAAAGATAATACTAACAGTGTTTACATAACATTTTGTATGCACTCTCAAGAAAATAAAGTTTTTTTAATACATTTGTTGTAACTCAGTACTTCGTGGCGGGAAAAATATGTTTCATTTATTTATGGTCAGCCAAACCAGTGCGTGTGAGTCCAGATATATTTAGTTCTTTTCAAATGAAAATACATACATCATTGATTACAGATAATTTTGCTTCCCCAGAGAAATTTGTAAATCCTACTTCAGAACAAAGTAGCAAAAAGTGGTTTTTGGGGTTTTTTTGCTTTTAAATTTGAAACATCAACATCAGTTGCAAATGAGAGTATAATATAAATAATTTTTATTAAAGAAGTTAATGACACTAATCTGATATTTTTCATATTTGCCAGTATATCCTTTTCTCGTCAGTGGCATCTGCAGTACCAGCTAGGTAAAATTAAAAGGATAGCTTTATTAAACTATCATCCTTAATTCATTACCCACTTTTAGTTTTTTGCTAAACCATAGAAATTGTTGGAGATAAAATTCTCTGGTTCTAATGAAAGGGCATTTAGGACCAACATCTGTGTATTTATTATAATTATATAAGTTCAGAATTAGACCAGATTACTTTGTGTTGCATATGTTAATTCTATAGAAACATAAGAGTTAAGTGACCCAGTCAGAGCCTCAGTGCTTTTTTAAGAACCACTTTTTAGAGTGGTCAGAAGGGTTACTAAATATCACAAAATTGAGAACATTTATGGTTTTGCCATATTCTAAGTTCTTTTTTCCCCTTGTGGTTTTTGTAGCTTTTCTTGTAGCTAGGTAATCAATGTGACAGCACGTAAGCTACAGTATCTTACTGGTAGAAGTAATTTGTTTTGAATTGGGCCACATTCGTAAGAAATTTTCCTACGAAAGGATGATGATTTTTATTGATAGCTGAAGGAGAAATGAAGAAGGTAATGCTACTGGTAATAGCAACAATGTATTTTGCCATCTGTGAAAGCTGTAATTCTTTAATAAAAGTATGTAGAGAATTGATTGCTTTTTATTCAAAAAATTTTAAAAACGTGAATCCTTATAAAATGGGTTGTAAAGTATACATCTCAATTTTTCAAAATAACCTTTCTACTTGGTAAAAATGGCTCTTAAAAAATACCTTTCTTCTTGGAAAATGGAAGTGAACTCAGGATGGAACATGAGTGACCTAAATTGAAATAAACTTCTCCACTGTCAATACTGTTTTAATTCCTCTAAGTAGCAGTTCAAACTACTGTTATAATGCTTTGTATATACTGAGCAATGTGATTTTTTAAAATGCAGATAAAATAATTGCATTATCATATAGATTATAATTTCTATACTTCAGCTTGCAATCTCTTTTTTAAAAAATCTGTACTCTTTTCTTATAGATCTGCTCTTTTCCTGTTTGTAATAAATGTTGGTCCATGTCTGTGTGATTATTCAGATTGTACTCTAAAACACAACATGATCTTTAACCTATAGTTTCTTAAATGCATGTATAAATGTAGTGTAGGGGTATGAAAGAAAACAGGAGTGATTTGCAAACACAGAACTGAGTACTCCTATATCCGAAAGTGCTTTGAATAATTACATACTCTTTCTAAAAACAAAGATATTTGTGTGTTTACTATTAAAAGTAGCAAACTTTTATTTCAGGTTTTATTGAAATATCTTATCCTGTCCATATTCCCTTCCATTATTGTAGCATAGATGTTTAGGTCTTGTCACTGATACTAACTTGATCTATATGTTTTTCTTCTCTTGAGGCCTTTTCTCTTTACCCAGGCAATGTATAATAAAACTATTTTGCAAAAGGACATAGTTAATTTAGATAACATTTTTAAAAATCTTATTTTCTATTGTCTTCTAGATAATTTAGTATTTTATGTGAAATGTAGTGATTTATTTTCAAGCAAAACCTTGTACTAATCAACCTAATTGCTTGTATGTTTCTGTTTCTCCACTTTATAAAGCAAAATTATTATCTTTGCAGTCACTGATAAATATTGAAAAAGCAAGCTCATCTTTTTTCCTCTGCAAAAGACTCGAATTTTTAACCCAGCTTCTTTATATTCTACTTTACTGCGTGTAATAAGATTTATGGTATATTCTGAAAATGTGGAAAAGACATCTCTAACCAGATTTTAATAAAAAATACACATATTCTAAAATTTGTTATGGAACAAAAAGGGCTGTTTGGTCATACAGTTGGTAGTTTCCCTGTGGGTAATGCTGTAGCCTAAATTTCTTGGGCATTTATGGAATAACAATGCTTAATATATAATACCTAATAGTGTTTTTTTGTTTTTTTTTTTTTAATTGTGGGGCATCATAACAAGATCGTAGGGGACTATTTTGGTATACAACCCACTTCCCCTCTTCCAAGAGGTTTTAATTAAAATTATGCTGCAGCATGGCATCCATGAATAAACACAAAACACATAAGCCCTTCCTAATATTGTGGAGTAGAACCTCCATAATTGGAAATACAACTAATCCTAACAGAAAAGCCTTTTGAGGGTGCTCTGCATTTTTAGTTCTAACTTGAGCATAAGGGAACCAGGTGGCAATTAATTGACTTTCTCTTAAAAAACAAGCAAAAAGACCTCTTAAAGGCTCAAATATTTTGTAATGGATTCGTTGTTTTTGTTTAGTGTGTGCTTTCAACTTGGAAACAGCTGTTCCTTTTTGAATGAATCTGGTTCAAGGCACTTCCAAGAAATGAAGATGTCTAAAATACACTGGTGATGTCTATTAAAAAGCTGTATTTCG